CTGCATGAAATGTTCTTCAACTGACTGTATTGCACAATCTAGCACCAGGTTAAAGAATTCAACTTTGAATTGTTGTTTGGAGTCTCTTATGGGATTATCCTCTGCCTCGTAATCAAAATGTCTTCTTCTTCGGTGACTCTTGTATTCTTGAATGGGTGGGAAAATAGCTTCAGTGTGAAGTTCCTCTGCCAACTTCTGTGGACTCTTCAGAATGTTTTGAAATCCCTCATCTGACCGGTAAGACTGTAGGTATGACTTTGCTTTGTCCAGTTATTCCATTGCTCCAGATATATAAAAGTCAACACCTTGGAGTCTCTTGCTTACAACATTTATTTCAAACAGTATGTCATGCCACAACACTAAGCCACACAGAAATTTGAAGTTATGTATGTTTCTGGTGATTCCATTTCCCTCTGCCACTGTTCTCCCACAAACAGTTCCTGTCATAGCATTATCCTCCATACTGGCAACTATGGCATCATCTATCTTCCCAATTTGGTGTTTGATAGGCTTTATCGCCTCCACTCGACTTTCCCATCGTGTGACACTCAGTGGTTTCAGTGTCAGAGAGGATGTTCCCAGATATTGCTTCAAAATTTGCCATCGATGAGTTGATGCAGAGAAAAATACATAGATACTTTGAATTACATAAAAAAATTCAGCAGCCTCACTAGAAGCTGATGCTGCATCACTGACCACCAAGTTCAATGAATGAGAACTGTATGGGACAAAAAAAGCTCGAGGGTTTAAGTCTTGGATCCGTGTCTGCACTCCTCTGTTCTTTCCTCTCATGTTGGCACCATTATCGTAGCCCTGACCTCTCATGTCAGCTATCACAATTCCCGTATCTTCCAGCTTTTTAAGAAGCACATTTGTCATACCAGCTCCAGTAGTATCATCAATGTCAATAAATTCTAGAAAATGCTCTCTGACAGTCACCAGTGCAGGGACATTTTCACTAGGTTCTGTTGTTGTTACAAAACGCACCATTAAAGTCATTTGTTCCGTATGGCTGATGTCAGGTGTGCAGTCCAGAATAACAGAGTAATATCTTGCTGACTTCAGATCTGCCACAATCTTCTGTTTGACTTTTGTTGCCAGTAACGGTATGATCTCACTTTGAATTGTTTTTCCAAGGTAGTGGTGTGTGTACATTTCTTGGGTGGTGACTCTTCTTAGATGCTCCTGAGTACAGCATCAAACTCAGCCATCAGCTCCATAATTTTAAGGAAGTTTCCATTGTTTGGTACATACAGCTGATCTGAAATGCCACACAATGCTAGGTTTTGGGTAGCAAGCATTCTCACTATGGCAATGAGCCTTTTCAGAACATTTTGCCAGTAAAGAAACTCTGACGCAATCTTCTCTTGATGCTGATCATCTATGGTGGCCTTTAACCTTAGTCTCATCTCAAGCTCTTTCCACCTCTGGAATGCTCTCTGGTGATTTCCTGCCTTCTCATGGCATGCCAGATTTCCAGCCAGATTTTTCCAGTTCTTTGTTCCTGTAGAACCCAATGTGGCTGGAACATTGGACTGGAAGAGTTTGCAACAAAAACAGTATGCAGCATTCTGGGTTTTTGAGTACATAAGCCATGGCCTCTCCACTTTGTCACCGTTGGGGATTTCATGCCAGTAATATGTTGGATGGAAACTTCTATTTTCATTGTCTTTGGGGAACATGAAGTTTTTCACTTGCTGTGGCCCATGCAGTACAAGGAAGTCCCTCAGGCTACTGCTCAAGTGGGTCCACAGTCCTGGATCATCTAGACTTAAGGAACTAAACTCAGCAGCAGCTGTTTCTTGTGCCTCCACCACACTCTTCTCTGATCTACCTTTTTCTTCAGGAATGTGCATGGTTACATCCATTTGAGATGGAGATATGGATACTGCAGTTGCTGCCAGGTCACCTGCACTCTGACTAACTGGAAGATCAGGCATCTCCTCACCACTCACATCCTCACTGGGGCCAGAAAGCTCACCGTGAACATTTGTGTCTGTGTATCTCAGGAGACCTCCTTCCTGCTTAGATAGAAAAGCTTCCTTTGCTTGCTTGCTTTTTCTGAATGCTGCCCCAGAGGGGCGTTTTCTTCTTTCACTCATGACTGCTCCTCTGTGCCAGCTATAGTGGCTCTCAACACTCAATTGAAGGGGACAAATAAGCAGGCTGGTAGCAGGGCCTGAGTGAGAGAAGATATCAGCATCTTAAGGGCCTAACTGGCTCCTACTACTTCAGTTGACTGCCTGTTCTTCTTAAGTGGGTTCAGGGAAGCAGCAGGAAACAGGAAGCTCCCTGAGAAGCTGGTGTTAATCAATCCAGGCTTCTGGGGGTGCTAGAGAGGTACATCAGAGGCTCCTCCTCCTCTCTCTCCTTGCAGCTCCTGCTGCTTTGTTATTCCCTCTCACCTTTTCTCCTGCCTGCCTGTTATGTCTCTTGTGCCCTCCTTCCTCCAGCACAGCACTCCAGCATCTCTGTGCATCTAGAGCAGAGAGAATACATATGCACCAGCAGCAGACAAAATTTTCTACACTCTGGGTCCTAGTGGTGCCCACCCCCCGCCCCAGTCTGGCACCTGAGGCAGCCGCCTCAGTTCGCCTCATGGTAAGGCCTGCCCTGCTTCTATAACACAAGGATTTTTGTGGAAGTAACAAACTAATCTAGGTGGACACTTTGACAGAGATCAGGTTTTTCATGAAAGGAGCCATTGCTGTGTCAGAGATATTATCTACATCTATAAACTGGGGAATTAATACATAAAAACACTACAGTGTGTGTAAGTTATAGACATAACTAATGCAAAATCTCAAAACCAAAAAAAGTTAAAAACATCCAGCAGTCCATACTCCTCCCATCCAGAGACAGACCCCTCAGCACTAGCACAACCACTTCAGACAACATACCACAACCCTAATTCTGCCCCCAAGTACAGGTGCCAGTCTTCCTGCATCCTCTTCCCCAAACTTGAGTGTATGTGATTTCATATAGCTGTATATAGACCTGGGGGAAAGTGAGTCTGTTGCGTTTGTGGGTGGTGGTGGGTTGTTCACACCTAAAACATCAAAGTAATTCAAACGTAACTGAAAAGCTCTCATGGAAAGAAAGGGAAAGAAATTTGAACTCTGGAAAGGTGCAATGCTGAAGGATTCCAGGTTCTTAGTCTCCCATTACTAAGATACTTTATACAGAGTAAATACCACCTTTCTGCTCCTACTTGGTATTGACCCGCTTAGCCATCCAAGGATTGCACTTCTGTAATACAACAGATACCTTAAGGAGACAGGATACCAGACTAAATGGGCCACTGGTCTGTCCCAGTATAGTAAGGAGACAGAACAGTGGACTAAATAAACAATGGTCTGTTCAGGTCTGGCAGAGAGAAAGCATACTAGCCTTGATAAGCACCAGAGAAAGGCCTACATATAAATAGTAAATTGGACTTTCCTGGTGTGATAATTCCTAATTTCTTATCAAGAAGAACAAATGCAGCTTTGTATGTTGTAAAAGACTCTAAATATCAAATACCTAGAAAACCTCCCAGCAAAATTTTTGAATAATTAAAATATTAAAAGATGCAATTGCTACTGTTAAACTATAGTCTTTACAAAGTTCAAAACCCTTTTAAAGATCTTTTCAATGCATCGACTAATATTTTTATGTCATATTGTACCTGTTTTGTAATATGTTACTTGTCATAACATTTCTGCCTCTACACAAATTAAACAGAACAATAAGCTAAGCAGCTGAAACTCTAACTTATGTAACTGGAATCTTATATCTGTTAGTTTTGGATTCCAAAAAGATTTTGATAGATGAAAAATGTATTGCTGGGTTGCTAAAATAATTCAGAATATAAGGAATAAAGCCAAAGATTTTGAAATAATGTACATATGATGTGATGATGTTTGCCTGCTTCTTTGTAATATAATAAATTTAAATAAAATAATTCTTTGTACACTGCAGTCTTAAAGTACTATAAGGCAATAGAAAGATGTATTTTCTGATTCCCAAATGTAACTTTTTTCTGTGAAACTCATGAAAAGAAAAATCATTGACCTATCTAGCAAATGCCTGGTTGTCAGACTGTGGTGGAGAGGTGTGTCCTCCTGTCTCTACCCAGTGCAGAACTGCTCATTGCCTGCTCAGTCCACACTTAGATTCCAGTCCTATGAATAGACCATATGGTGGTTCTGTGGGGGCAGAGGGGTAAGAGGTGCATCACAACAACAATGCTGTGGATGAGGCTGACTCCACCACATTCCATGCAGAAGACGTGAGATCTGTGCATGGAACTTGAGGCACAATCTGGCAGGCATTACAGAAATGCAAATAATTATATTATTATGTCTCACTAGTCCTACATGTGATATACTTAACAAGTGTATTTCAAAATTTGAAAAAAACTTGGACCTTTACATAAATTCTCACAAAGACAAAAACTTACATTTAAAATCTATTAAAGTTGCCTAAGGAGAACAACCCCCAACCCACACAAACCCTTAAAAGTAGGAATTCTCCAGTTAAAATACAACAGAGAGTCCTGTGGCACCTTTAAGACTAACAGATGTATTGGAGCATAAGCTTTCATGGGTGAATGCTCACTTTGTCGGATGCATGTCAGTTAAAATATTCTTCTTTCCCCTTACCCCCACCAAACATCATATTCACCATTTCACAGACAGATTTCTCCCCTCTATAAACAACTCCCTTACGCTTCTATCATGTGTAGTAACACATCACACATATCCTAATTCCCATGATTACATTATAACACAAAACCTTAACTCCAACAACACATGTCTTTTAGACATTCACATACCAGAATATTGTGTTCTTCTCTGATGGATAAGTCTAAGGTCAGAGTTAAAGTTCTGCATTATAATGCAATTGTAGGGAATGTTGGGAGTTATTGTATATGCTGGAGGTGTGGGGTTTTTTTACGTGGGGATTTCCTTTTTTAAAACTGTATGTAGAAATTTAGTGGAAAATATGACACATAGATCTTTTAAACCCCTTCTCAAGTCAGACACAATTCAGGAATGTATTTAAGCATGCGATAACTTTAAGCATATGCTTGAGTCCCAATGATTTCAATGGGACTTAAGTATATGTTTAAACACGTGCTTAAGTGATTTTCTGATTTAGGGCCTAATATTGTAATGTACATTTGCACATAGACTATTAATTGGGAAGATGACAAAGGAATATAGTGAAGGTCAAGTCAATGTTTTGTTTTTGCTGTTGTACACTAAATAAAAGAAATATATGAATATTATTTTCCTAAAAGAGCTGAAATACTGTATATAGTAGGAAGGATCAATCTCTGGAAGATTAAATGTGTATCAGAGATCTAAAAATGCATAGAAAAGGCTTAAAAAGCAGAGCAGTCCCATTTCATTTCATTTGCTATGTATTCTGTGATTCATTTGCTTTATTATTTTAATTTAAGAGCTGCATTTTAAAAAATAAATACATAATTTTAATCATTTTTAAACAGCATAAATTGGAAACAGCAGACCATATCATTCTGAAGACACCTTTGGAAACTTGGTTTAAAAGACTTCCTCAGTAGTGCAGGAAATCTATAGCCAAGGTAAGGAGCCTGGACACAATCCAGTTTTCTTGGGTCCTTTCCAGTGATCTAACCATAAGACCATCATCCAGAACAAACAGCATCTGATCATGTAATTACAGCCTGTATCATTCATCTACATGTCCAATAGTGCCTTGTAGATAGAAGTATTCATAAGCAGCTCCATTTTACATACGTAGCCAAGCACATAGATTTGGCTTAATCGTTTCCTAAGGGGACAAAAACATACCTGCTTTTACATGTCTTGTACTCTACTTTAAGAATTGGTTTACAAGACTCAGGTTTTTTCCCATCTCTTTGAATTTTTCCTGTGGAAAGAAAGAAGGTATAAATCTTACTAAAACTTATAATTGCCACCACACTGGATAGTTCTATATATAGCACAATAATTGAACTTTAAAGTCATTGCAGATGGCAGAGTACTAATACCTATTTTCCACTGCAGTTTGGATATTAATTTGTCTGAAATAATTAGATTCCTTTTGCTCTTTTATTCAACATATTTTCTTTCTTCACAGCAAATCCTATTGTCTTTTAAAATTTTGTTTTAAACATATATGAGCTTAAATGTTGTTTCCCACAAGCAAAACAAATCAGACATGGTCAGAGGCAGAGGGTATTAAATAAAAATCAGATACTTTGGTGCTGAGACAGGCCTTTCATATAAAAAGTAACACAGCTGCTAGTTGATTTTGAGAATAATCTGCAGATTAAAGAATATAGGAACCTATACAAGAAATGGCTACGAAGTAGGACACAGGACCAGATAAAACAAACTAATCATAGATATCTGCAAATAAAACCATCTCTTTCATTCCTTCCCTGCAATATGTTTTTTTTTAAAGCATCTTTCTTACCATGTGGGATTGTTATCTGAAATGGTCTGCTAGGAGTTTTCAAGTTCCACAGAGTCAAACTGCCATCAGAGTGACTGCACATGAACTGCTTCCCCTCATGATGCCAGTCTACAGAATGAATAGCCTAAAGAAATGGTAGTGAGAACAAACAGGAACGTCATTACAGAATATATAGTTCACATTAACTAATACAGCTACATTTTAATGTGTGACTTGAGGTTATCCTTATCCAATGGCATCTCAGCAATTGGGTGCCTCTTATTTGTCTGCAATCCACCACCATCAGCACCCCTTTAAAGAACTTTCACTCAAATTGCTCTTCAAAGCAGACAAAAGAAGCACCTTCAACTGTACATGCTAACTTAAATGTGTAATAACTTTTCTTAGTGTGTATCATTCTCCACATGCACAGCGAATTTTTTCTGAACAGAATTGTTCAGTTTTACTGAAAACACCAGATACACCTGCAAGCTCAGAATGTGCTAGTGGACATTTGCTACAAGGGCAGATTCCCAGGGGTACATAGGGTTGAGAGATACCTCGCCCACCTGCCCTTAGCCTGTGGAAGTCTTGTTTGTACTGCCTGTGGATCAGCTCCCTGAAATCATCAGCCTCTGGCAACACAAGCATGGTCCTCCAGGCCTCTGCAGGCCTCTGCAGGCCTTGCTCTCTCTGTACAGGTTAGCGATAAGCACAAACCAATCCCTGGGTCCTCTGAGCATCCTCTTAGGCTCGGGTCAGGACAGGTGGTGTTAACCTGGCCATCACTTATTTGTACTGTGGTGTCTAGGAAGTGGACCTGCCCTGCTGTGCTCTTCTAACCGCCCTGGTGTCTGGCTGCCAGTAGCGTAGCTAGCGGGGTTCAGGGGAAGCGGCCAGTTCCCCTGACCCCACATTCCCCAAAAGTGGCGCTCTGGCCGGCCGGTGGAACGGGGCCACGGGCCGGCCAGCTCCTGGTGCTCCGGCCGGCTGGCGGAACGGGGCCACGGGCTGGCTGGCTCCCGGTGGGACTCTGGCCCTGAGAGCGTTGCCGGGGGTCTCGGTGCCCTGGACAGCGCTCTGGATGGGGAAGCGGGGCGGCCCTGCGCATGCGCCGCTCCATCTTTCGGCAGCATTTCGGCACATGCGCAGGGCCACTGAAATGCCACCGAAGGACCGGCGCCTTTTTTCGCCGCCCCTCCTCCTCGGCTGCAACCCTGGCTATGCCACTGCTGGCTGCGCGTAATCAGTGGCCAGGCGATTTGCCTCAACCTCCCACCCCGCCATAAACATCTCCCCCTTACTCTCACAGATATTGTGGAGCACACAGCAAGCAGTAATAACGATGGGAATATTGGTTTTGCTGAGGTCTAACCAAGTCAGTAAACTGCACCAGCGAGCTTTTAAACGTCCAAAGGCACATTCTACCACCATTCTGCACTTGCTCAGCCTATAGTTGAACTGCTTCTTACTACTGTCCAGGCTTCATGAGCCATGGAAGCAAGGGGTAGGCTGGGGTAGGTGCATCCGCGCGGTGCTGCCAACTGGGAGAGCAGCCTGAGGAAGAAGTCTCCAGCTGGCATGATATTCCAGGCAAGACTGAAGCTCCATTAGACGAAACTTAAAAAGCGAATGACCTCGAGTCATTCCCATTTTTGTCCAGGCGCCTCCGACCGACCTCATCGGCCAGAAGCACCCATGTCTGACCAGGCGCCCCTGACCAACCTAACCAAGGTTGACCAGGAGCACCCACGGGATGACGACAAAGGTTAGTAGTCGTATTGCACCGTCTGCCGTCTGCAAGGCAAGGCAAGGGGATGCTGCTGTGTAGCACTGCAGTACCGTGTCTGCCAGCAGCACCCAGGAGACATACGGTGACAGTGAGCTGAGCAGGCTCCATGCTTGCCGTGGTATGTCGTCTGCACAGGTAACCCAGGAAAAAAGGCGAGAAACAATTTTTTGCCGTTGCTTTCACGGAGGAAGGGAGGGAAGGAGGGGGGACTGACGACATGTACCCAGAACCACACGCGACAATGTTTTTGCCCCATCAGGCATTGGGAGCTCAACCCAGAATTCCAATGGGTGGCGGAGACTGCGGGAACTGTGGGATAGCTACCCACAGTGCAACGCTCTAAAAGTCGACACTAGCCTCGGTACTGTGGATGCACACCGCCGACTTAATGTCCTTAATGGGGACACAAACAATCGACTGTATCAAATCGATTTCTAAAAAATCGACTTCTATTAAATCGACCTAATTTCGTAGTGTAGACATATCCTAAGTATGTCAACGCCGTGGAATTGCTTTAAGTATGCACGTAACAGGGGATTATTTTGCTATACTTTTCTTACTCTCTTCTTTTCCTGTTATTTCAGTTATACTTGTTGTTCTAACTGAATCTCAAAGTCTTGGGGTGTACTTCACCAATCTGAGTAAAGAAACTGTTATTTGTAATAAGTACATTTGCACCCCGTTCACATATTTATCATTCTGCCCTACGTTCAACAATTTAGTGATATGCAAAATTTAACTTCTTATTTTGTCAAACTCAATTCTTAAAATTAAGTAAAATTCATTTTGTCTCACTGCGTTGGCTTCATAATTAAAAAAACAAGTTTAAATATCTAATAACTGATGGATGACTAATTCAATGGAACAGGATGACATTTTCAGCTGTGGCACTTCATACAAGTAAAGACGCGATAAGGGAAAGCCAAATGTGTATTGGAAAGATTAAATAGGTAGACAATAGAAAGAGAAAATGAGTGCACAGAAAGTAAGAAGCCAAGTATGTTGCTTGAATAATGAGATGATGACTGCATGAGGCAAGGGTGTGAAAATGAAATGACAACAAAAGGATGCAGTTTGGAAGGAAGATGGTAAAGAAAAGATGAAAGTTAATGTGTGAACATTAGAAAGAAAAGAATAAAGAAGAAAAATAAGAATCAGAACCACCATACAACTGAATATGATAATGTGAGAATATGCCATATCAATCCAAATATGGACTGAAAAGAATTATGGCATAGAATTTTGGCTTAGAAAATAATTAAAAGCTAAAGAAGCCCAGAAGCAGAAACGTGGGAAATCCAAAAGGAGCAAGTGATGTCCATGAAAGGAGGAACCTGTACAGATGACATTCTCTTCTCAAGCATCTCGTACGGGTCACTGCCAGAAACCGGACTAAATGGACCACACGTCAATTTGATGACACAATTCCTATGTTCCTAAGCTTGGCTTTGTGGAGCTAAACTATGAAAGCCTTGACAGTAAAATGATCCAGCTATTTTCACCAATAGGAGTCTGGTTTTCTAACATACCTCATACCAGAAGGGCCTGTTCTTTTTCTGACAGTTTGGCAACACCTGGATGGCTTGTCATGCCAATAAAGTCTCACCAAATTTAGCTGAATTGAACAGAGTGCTCATCTGCAAATGGAAATGTTGATTTGCACTCAATTCTTCTGCTCATCAGAAGGGAGTACAATTTCCTCGCCCATCTCTACCTAATGACCCAGAAGACACTGAACTATTACCTATGTGCCAAAAGGGAGATGGCTCACAAGCTGATCCAATACCACTGCCTTCAGGGAACAAGAATCTTAGATCTCGTGGGATTTCTGTCCATCTCACACTAAGGAATACAAGACCCAGGGATGAGAATCCTGCCCAGACAATTTTTAGAGTTGAGACCCCTCTCCCCAATTATTTAGGTATTCTTCATACATTAAAAAAAAAAGGAGGGGGGTGAAAAAACAGTTCCTGCATGGACCTTCTCCCAGAAATCTCCTTTTATCTCTTTCTGTTACCCATGAGCTGTATTTGTATTTCTCTGAATTGGGTTACCCAGTCAGTTTGTTAAGATGAGGGCTGTGTTTTGCTGAATGCCATGTATACATGAAACATTCTTTAAATAATCATTCGTAACTTTAAAAAGAATTCTGTGGAACACGAGAACTGAATCTTCATCTGATTTTCCAACTTAGTTACAAATTGCAAGAAATAGTGGTCTAGTAGATATGTAAGAATATATCATACTGAAACCAACTGCTACTCAGCCTCTGGGTCTTTGTGTACTATATAAAACCTATGTAATAAATTGCCTTTGATATTAACTAATGAAGTAGAAATATCTAGTAATGATAACAATAAAGTGTAATTCCTAAATACAGTTATAACTAGAGCTGAAACTTTTCTTAGGCAAAAATGTAGATGTGACAAAAAGCAAAAAATTCTCATCAGTTACACTAAATTGTCTGTTTTTAAAAAAAGGAAAAGAAATTCCAAAAAAGTCAAAATGAAATGCTTCAATTTTTCAGTTTGAGATTCTTTTGTTTAGAAATTTCCTTCCATTGTATTTTTTAATTTTTTTGATCCAAAACTATTTTTTTTAATTTTTCGGATTTTCCAGTGAACCCAAAAAATCAGTCATTCACACAGCTCTTGTTGTAACACATGCATGCTCGGTGTGGTGTTTTGTCCCCCTCTAGTAGAAGGTAGGCCACACAGAGGTTGATGAGTCTGCTCCAGCATTGGCTAGGAGAGCGGGGTCTTTTAGCTCAAGCAGTAACAGCACATGCATTCAGACTCGGAGTTCCCAGGTTTTGATAGCTGCTGCCAATGGGACATGGCTTTAAGGAATACTATGGTATATTGCATTTCCAAAACTAACCTTGCCTTTCAGATATATCTTCTGCTTCTTAAAATACTACCGAATTGTCCTTTACTCTGAATGAGTGGGAAATACTTACCTCATCATAGTAAACTCTTAAATCTGCTCTTTTTGATCGCAAGTCCCAGAGTACTACCGTCCCATTTTCATAGCCTATTAATAGCTGGGGAGAAAAAGAAACATGATTATCTTCTCAACGCTAAAATACATTTAAAAATATTTAAGCACTCTATGATTTTGTATTTTTTTTCTAAAATTAAGTTTCTAGCCCTCTTTCACCTACAGATAGAGAATAATTTCAGTTTTGGTGGAAACAATTATTCCCCAGACAGAAAATTCCTTTAGTGAGAAAACAAACTTGAGCATGGACGGTAAGAAACAGTTAAAATTATGTTTATTAGAATAATTTGGCAGAGATGTGGTGCACAAAGCCACATTTCTGAACATGATGGTCACATTTTAATGGTCAATCCACACCACAGTAGGAAAATCAGAGTGGCATGTTGGTTTGTGATGACCTTTGTGAGGTTCTCCGAGGATTCTGATCATCCTTGGGAAGTTCACCTGGATGTTGATGAGCTTGACAAAGCTTGCCTGGCCACTGGTTCAGATACATTCAGTCCTACTACTTGTTCTGTCAATTGTTCAGACAAACAAGTTTGTTTACATTTACAGGAGATAATGCTTCCTGCTTCTTATTTACAATGTCACCAGAAAGTGAGAACAGGCATTCGCATGGCACTTTTGTAGACAGCATTGCAAGGTATTTAGGTGCCAGATATGCTAAACGTTCATATGCCCCTTCATGCTTCATCCACCATTCCAGAGGACATGCATCTCTGGACATACGTCAAGAGACATATGAATCTTTAGCGCATCTGGTATGTAAATATCTTGCAATGCCAGCTACAACAGTGCCATGAGAACGCCTGTTCTCATTTTCAGGTGACATTGTAAACAAGAAGCGGGCAGCATTATCTCCTGCAAATGTAAACAAACTTATTTGTCTGAGCAATTGTCTGAACAAGAAGTAGGACTGAATGGACTTGTAGGCTCTAAAGTTTTACACTGTTTTATTTTTGAATATTTTTTTTGTACATAATTCTACATTTGTAAGCTCAACTTTCATGACAAAGAGATTGCACTACAGTACTTGTATTAGGTGAATTGAAAAATACAATTTCTTCTGTTTTTTACAGTGCAAATATTTGATATAAAAATAAATATAAAGTGAGCACTGTACACTTTGTATTCTGTGTTGTAATTGAAATCAATATATTTGAAAATGTATAGAACGTCCACAAGTATTTAAATAAATGTTGTTCTTTTATTGTTTAACAGTGCAATTAATCACGATTAATTTTTTTAATCACTTGACAGTCCTACTTAGGACATAACCTATAAAGTGATGAGGGTACCTCTGCGCCACATATAATTCACTCTGTTATTCCATGTGGCAGCCAATAATCTAAGGTCACTATGTAAGATGGTAGCATGTCTACATAGAAATCCTCCTGTGTCCAGTTCAAGAAATTATAGCAATAACAAGAAAAGAGAAAAAGGTTAGTTTGATGGCATATGTATGAACGCAATTTTGAAACCAATGTTCTATGATGCACTTCATCCATAAAGAAGAGAAGGTGGGAGAGGCTGGCATCTTTATACAGCAGAGTTACAGTACTTCGGGAACTCTGCGAACTTCCATACTTTGAAATGTTTGTATGTTTTGGAATGTTATCATTTGTCTTTTTTAATGTTTATTTATTTATGTTTTACAAGATTATATTCTTTTAAGTTACTTGTAAACATGATCCTGAATTTCTTAGTTTTCTAATAATTATCATAGATTTTAAGGCCAGAAACGATCATTATGATCATCTAGTCCAGGGTTCCCAGACTTGATTCGTGGCTTGTTCGGGGTAAGCCCCTGGCGGGCCGTGAGACGCTTTGTTTACCTGAGCGTCCGCAGGCATGGCCGCTCGCAGCTCCCAGTGGCTGCAGTTCGCCGTTCCCGGACAATGGGAGCTGCAGGAAGTGGCCGGCCGTACCTGCGGATGCTCAGGTAAACAAAGCGTCACCAGGCCCGCCAGGGGCTTACCCTGAACAAGCCATGAACCAAGTTTGGGAACCTCTGATCTAGTCTGAGCTCCAGCAAAACACAGGCCAAAGAACCTCACCCAGTAATTTCTGCATCAAATTTTTGTTTGAGTATAGCATATATTTTAGAAAGATATCCAGTCTCGATTTAAAGACTGCAATTGATGGAGAATCCACCATATCGCTAGGTAAGTTGGTTCCCAAGGTTAATTATCCTCACTGTTAAAAATTTGCTTCTTATTTCTAGTTTGGATTGGCCTTGCTTCAATTTCCAACTACTAGATCTCATTATGCTTTTTTCTGTTTGATTAAATAGCTGCCTGCTATCCGAAATCTCTTTCCCATGCAGGCATTTGCAGATACCTCTTAACCTAAATGAAATAAACTGAGATTCCATAGTTGTTCACCAAAGTTTTCCAGACCTCAAATAATTTTTGTAGCTTTTTTCTAACCCTTCCCAATTTTTCAACATCTTTTTGCAAATGTGAGCACCAGAATGGGACAGTATTCTAGTGATAGCCTCACTACTGCTGTATATAGAGTTAATACCACCTCCCTACTCTTGCTTGATATTCCCCTGCTTATACATCCCCTGGAAGGACATATCGTGGGGAGGGTGTGTTTGTTGGGGAAGGGATGGAAGAAAGATAGTCCGAGGAGGAGAAGTTATGTGCAGGAAGGAGAAGGAAGAGTATGGCAGAGTAAGGCTTTTCTACACCTGATTCTCTTTTGGTTGAAAGTCTTCTGACAGCAGCATCTTTAATTTACAGTAGGACTGAGTGGCTGAAAATTAGGAAGCTGCAATCAGCTTCATGTCAGCTCCTCTTCTCCACTGCCCTTAAGATATGTATGCATACAGTGGAGTACTGAGCCTTATATGTCTAAATATGTATACACCAGCAGGTTGTGAGGATGAACGTTGACAGCCACTCAGAACACTCTTGCGGGTGCTGTTGGGCTAAGGGTATTACTCTGTACTAACCGAGATGGTCTCCCCCATTGAACCTGAGACACTTCCTGTATTTTGAAGGCCCTGACCGGTCTTGAGACTTTAAAGCATGGATTATACTTCTCCCAAGATGAAGTTAGTTTCTGGCCCCAGCACTCACACCAATTCTATAGCCTTCATTCCCAGAAGAAATTGGATCTCATCCTGGAGCAATCTATTGTGAGAAGGATTTCTAAGGGGGAAGGTGGGGTTGGTATGACCTCAACATTTTCAGCTGAAAACCATGATAGATTTGGAAACCCCTTGAAGAAGGAGAGTAAAAAGAATAGTCTTTTCTGTCCTATTAAAAATAGGACTGCTGCTTTTTACAGAATGACTGACCCAACCTCAGTATTCTAGCTGTTAATCTGGTTACAGAATTTCAAAACTTATAAGGCCTGTGAATTACAATGTCTAAGGAACTAATCACTGAGTTCAACATATTATTAGAGGCTCTCATTGAATATCTTACAACCTCCTGACTTTCCCTCATACACCATAATTCCACAATATAAAAGTGATGAAGAGATTCTTCCCCCCTCCACCCCATTTTCCAATGTTGAACCACACTACTTCTTAATTGATTATAGGACTTTACCTGCTTAATTTGTAATGAAACAGGTTGCGAAGGCACAAGTCATTTTTTTACATTCATAACTGATGCAGCAAGCCCAGAGGTGCCAGCAAGCCTAGAGGTGCCGGGGCTCAGCCCTGGCACAGATTGAGCACAGGACTTTACCCTGTGGTCATGAAGTTTCTTTTCCTTGCATGAAGGAAGATTTTCAAAAGCCTTTTGAAAGTCTAAAATAAATTAATCAATCATCACATCATTTGGATAACTTTTTCAAATAATTCTATCTGGTTAGATAATTTATTCCTACAGGAACCATGCTAGTTCACCAATATCACATAATACTCATTTAGTGAAGGAGATCCTAAATTTTAATTATTTTCGCCACTATTTTTCCCAGTACCGAAGAATGGGTCATCCCGGTTTATAATTCCCAGAATAATATTATATTTCATTTTTTAAATGATGGGTGTACAACTGACTATCTATCTTCCAGTCCTCTAGTACAGCATTTGTTTAGGTTTTTCCATCACCTATTTTAGACTCTAGGCACTTCACGTTATTAAAAATACAAAGTTCAATATAAAATTTAAAAAATACCATATACTTTGCTTAATTAATGGACCATCCCATGGTAACAGCATCAACTGGCCATCCATATCCCAACAACCCAATACCCAAACCAGAAATGCACACTTAGACCCCACTAGACCATCAATCCACCTTTACCCCAAATGCATGTAAAATGGAGTAAACAACATATTTTTGTCAGTAGTTCATCTAATTCATTACTTCTTTCAGAATAGTCACATTAATATAATTTAAACCCATTTAAGCCTGGGTCTAAATTACACACCACTACAGGCCTTATTACTTTTTATTTAAATGATCTCAGTATAGTTTTTAACTAAACTTTGACTTTCAAGTGGGAGCTGGGCACCTAGCTGCCATCTGTGTCTTTTAAAAATCTCCCTGTAAAAATCCAATTTCTTTTGAAGTTGGTTATGTGTTTTGCCTATGAGAACAAATATAGTGTGTTCATTCTGGTTATGTTCACTCTCTCCTTTCTCCAAGCTCTCCAATCCCTTATAGTCCTCTCCACCTTCCACACCATACCACATATGAAGTTGGTATGAAATAGCATAAAAGCAACTTTATTTAAGAAAAATACTGATTTTTTGTAAGTCAAATGGAGAAGACAAAGTCACAGTCTATTATTCTTTTTGAATTATTGCATAACTGTGGTAAAAAATGTCTACATTCTATAATACTCACTTATAGAATCACAGGGATTTATCGACACACTGCAAGTACCAACTCCTGCATGCACAGGTAGGGCTGAATTTCCTGCTAAACTCCCCAGAACACATGCAAGAATACAACAACATGCAAGACAACAACTTAATACCACCATAAAGATACAGCACCATCTATTGGTGGCGGTGTTGTCTACACTGCTCATTACAATTTCCCCCTCTCTAACGGAATATGAATTTAAAACAGAAAC